GAGAGAGAGAGAGAGAGAGAGAGAGAGAGAGAGAGAGAGAATTTCAATATCCGCTCAAAAACTGTAGGCTACCTAATCTAGCGGTCCACGAGAAGAAAGCACGCGCTTCCTTTTTGTAGAAGCGGTTATTGCTGATGGTGTGTCATGTTACCTCATCAGCGCTGTTTTTTTTAAAGTAATTAAGATAACGGAAAGTAGAGTTATGTGAATTATGAAGTCTCAATTAAACATAATTAGTAGTTCTTAACTGCAGCGACAATCTCCTCCTCTCTCTTCCAGGGGCACTAGCAAGGGAGGACCAAGGGGAGGGGGGCAATAGGCACCACTTTCACCCCCCACCCCACCCAGGTGCCATAAGGCACACTTAGGGCTCTCTGCAGTCAGGCTGTGTCTCAGTTCAAAGGCTGTAGCCTACCAGGCTGTATAAAACTACTGTAAAATGAGATGGTCTAACCTTCAGATGACCTATGTTTGCGGGACCACTGCCACCCTGTTACCATGTACCAAGTACTTTTATACGCACTCTAAAAAAATGAAGTGTTGAACTTAACCAAACTGTTTCCACTAAACCGAGCTGAATAAATTAAACAATTGAACAACACGTAGAACCAGTTATAACTTGGTTAAATAAATTCAACACTTCGTTTTTCATCATACAAAGCACTCCTTTCATGAGGAGTTTGGTCACATGTGTAACGTGTAACTAGGTGTTCAATTTTAAAGTGAAGATGTAAAAGTATAGGTTTAGAACACAATACATTAAAAGTAAAAGTTACAATAAAAAACTATTAAAACTGCAAATTCTCCAAAAAAATTTGAGTTAGATTATGTTTGGCGCCAATTCTTAAATTTTCTTAACTTGTCATTTTGTAGGGAATAAAATAWTTTAATACCAATGTGCTTATATAAAAATGTAGGGTCTTGGGAAGTGAAATGCATATTTTTATAAGGGCAAGCTTTTATGATTTGAGCAGTGAATCAATTAGTAATATAGTTATAAACAACATTAACATTTAACATTTTAGACCTATTTCAAAACTTCCATTTATTTCTAAAATTTTGGAGAAAATAGTTTTTATTCAACTGAACACCTTTTTAAATGATAATGGAATTTTTGAAACGTTACAGTCTTGTTTTAAACAGGGTCGGAGTGGGACTCATTTTCAGCCCTGGAGTTTGATGCCTCTGACCGGCCCACTATAAATGAAAACATATTATTACTAAAGTTGTTTTATAACCTCTAAATCATTGCACTAGTCTATAAAGCCTTGTAATTCAGTGTATTTTACAAAACTATTTCCAATTCAGTGCAAGTTGTGTTGCTTCCCAATGCAGATTTATTTCAACATAAGTGCACATCTCCACAATTGTTATTTACAACACATCCTTTTCAACAATATCAGAATCTAGGCTATATTTTGTTTGTGGGTGCAGTGAAATGAAGGAATCTGGGAATGATCCTAGATTCTGATTTGAAGTTTAAGAAGCAGATTAACTCGGTATTGCAGAAAAGTTTTTTCAGCTAAGACAGATAGTGAAGCTCAAGCCGATATTGACTAGACCTGACCTTGAGAAAATAGTACATACTTTTATTACTAGTCGATTAGATTATTGCAATGCACTTTATGCTGAGATCAGTCAGGTCTCCCTTTCACGTCTTCAACTCATTCAAAATGCTGCAGCTCGACCTATAACAGGAACTCGTGGGTTTGAGTATGTGTCGCCGGTCTTGTCTTCCCTTCACTGGCTCTCAGTGCRCTATAGAATAGATTTTAAAATTCTCCTGTTCACATACAAATGCCAACATGGCCTTGCACCCTCTTATCTCGCTGATCTATTTCAACCTTACAGTCCTTCTTGGGCATTAAGATCTTCTGATCAGCTACTTTTGGTCACTCCTAAAACCAGGCTGAAACTGAGGGGAGATTGAGCTTTTTCAGTCGTGGCTCCAAAGCTTTGGAACAATCTACCCCCAAATGTTAGACAGGCCTCGTCACTTTCTGTTTTTAAATCTTTATTAAAAAACACACCTGTTTTCTCAGATTTTTTGATTGATTGTGAGTTATGTATTTGTTGTTGCTGTTTATCTTTTACRTTTTTTGAGAATGTCACTTGCTTTTTATATTGATTTTTGCCTTGTGTTCAGCACTTTGGTGACAACTTGTTTTTAAATGTGCTTTATAAATAAACTTGATGATGATGCTGATGATGAACAGAAATTCTGTTGTGCATTTTGGTTTTGTTGGCACCCCATAATTGTCAGTGGCCCCAATCTGGCCACACCTTTTAAAAACTTTCTAGGGGCGAGCTCCCTGCTCATCTCTTTCTGAATGTGGCCCCATGGTCCCACTGCAGACAGATGGTGAAGATAGCCCTGCTGCATGGGGTCACGTCAGCAGCCTGGGACTAGCTGTCATATAAGCCAAATTATCCTTTGAGGCAAGAAACAGCGACACAGCACAGATCAGAGGCCTTGTTATTAAGGAACAGTTCACTGCCCTCTTCTTCCTCCTCCACCACCTCCTCCTCCTTCTCTATCCCCAGAATAAAAATCTCCACCTGTTGAGGTCCTCCATCCTCCTCCAGACCCAGAGCCTCGCAGGCTTGGAATGAAAGAAGTGCATGGTTGCGTAATGTGAGCATAAAAGAGAGGGAGACGGACCACACTAAGAGTGGATAATGTTTCTTTTGAGGAAAAAATATATATTGTCCGGACCTAAATATAAAAGCTCTGTTTCTTACCATCACAACCATCTTTCCTTTCTTCTATACTTMTCCATTAGAGCACATGGCTCAAACTCAAGGCCTGTGGGCCAGAAATAACCCTTGTTACAAATTTATCCAGCAAGGGAGATGATACTTTAAGTACATTAGAAATTGCCATCCAGTTTTTGATGGATTGAGTTTTTACATAAATAAAAACAAACCAAGTGATTAACTTTCACTGTCCAAAATTGAATTGAAATGCATTTTTGACATCCAATGGTAAAATAAGAACAATGTGACTCAATAAAAATTTACCTAAAAATGATTTCAAGTGTATTTTTCTTTATGTGGCATTCGGGTCTTTTTCGCCTGTGGGACTCTGGAAGTAGCCGATAGCTATCGGCAGTCCAAGCAGATTGCGACTCGGCTAGTCGCTGAGGCAAAAACTCGGACATGGGAGGAGTTCAAAGAGGTCATGGAAAAAGACTTCCGTACGACAAATAAGAATATTTGAGAGAATTAGTTTTGAGGTTTCTGTAGCTGTTTAAAGTGACAGGCAATCATGTAATTGTCCATGTGTGCATGTGAATGTTCCTTTACCTGTAGGTTTGCAAAAGCTCTGACTGAAGCAGAACAGGGTTTAATGAAACTTTTAGAAATTATTCATATGTACATCTACCACTGATTAATGTTTGGACTCAACACCATTAAAGATGGCTACCACAGCTAACCTAGCACATATAAAAATGGCTAAAACTCAATCAGCTTTACAGAGATTGTGCTAAAATCATGTCTTGAATTAGCCAAGAGTCAAATCACTGATACACTTAGAGAGCTTACAGATTTAAGATCTTGCAATATCATGTGAGCTTAAGTTTGACGTTATTTCAAAAAATTGATTAAAATGTTTACAACAGTCATTTTAGGTCAAAACATTTTGTCATAAAAAACAGTGTGTGACACATTTTTTTTATTGATATAAATTGTTTTAGTTGATGGATTGTTTAAAAAGTATTTCTATAAAAGAAAAATCAACAACAAGGTGTAAAAATGGATGTTGATTGTGTCTTTTTTAGATTTTATGATGTTTTTTATTATTATTTAGCTCAATTTGTTTTAAATTAAATGATGCATTTCT